AAAAAAAAAAAAGAAAGTCACTTACGTAACTTCCAGGCCGTCTTGGTAACCACAGGGGTGGCCATCCTTCAGTTGGCTGGCACCTGAAGCTCCACCCACTAGATGGACTGTACTTTGCTCACGGGGTGGGGGTGGATCCCCCCCAGATCCACCGATCAAGTTGGCAGGGAGTTCCCACACATCCAGGCAGAGGGAATGCCTGTCTCTCAGTCCCGGACTGCCTCGTGGTTTTAGATCATTCACAGCAGCCACAGCAACAGCCTGTGTGTGCCCGTCAGGATCACAGCTTATGGAAGGTCAGGCTCGAGCCATGTCAGTTCAACACTGGGCTGGAACACAAACAGAAGGTGATGGCTTATCAGAAAATATTTGGTGAGAGCTCAGGGCATGCTGGGCTTGCAGAACCACAGCGCAGCTCCCCGGATCACCAAGGCTACTGCATAGAGAGACACCCACCAGAGCCACCAGAGCCACCAGAGCCAGGAGCTGAACTGTAAATCGTGTTTGAGAATCTGGAGGGGCACCTCAGGCAGGGTGACTTGGAACACAGGGAAAGAAAGGTCCTTCCAGAGGCCAGGATGATGGGATGGCAGGAGGCTCTGTTCCAGGAGGCTGGCTGCCCAGAGAGCAGCAGCAGCCGCAGTGGGGCGGGGAAGACATGTCTGCAGTTCACATAGATTCTGGGAGTCACTGTTTCCTCTGACGCTATGGGAAGGGGGTGGAGCCAGAGGCAAAGCTTTGGGGCCCAGGAGAAGCACTCCAGAGGCAGGCATTTAAGTCATCTCTGGGGAGAATGTCAAAGAGGGCCCTGAGGGTCCAATCCCTCCCTTGGCAGCAAGGGAACTACTCCTGGTCCCCTCAGTTCCCAAGGACAGTACTGGGAACTAGGTCTCCAGTCTGGGCATGAGTCGGTATGCCTCCCCAACTCTAAAAGGCCACCTCATGAAGCTTCTACCCCCTTTCTCCAAGCCTCTTTCCCATGAACGCTCTCCTCTCCGCCCCCTCTCTCCTGGATTCCCCAGCTCTGCCTCTCTAGTCCTTCGTTCATTACCCTTCTCCTTGTCGCTTGTGTCCCCCAATCCTGCACATCCTGTCTCCTGAGCTCCTTAACCTGACCCCTGCCTCGCCAGACCCCCTCTATTTCCTTCCCCTTCTGCGATCAGTATCCCCCATTCATTCACTCTCCTGCTTCCAGTGTCCCTATTCATCACTCAGCCTCCTGCAGACGCCCGGCTCCGCTTCCGGCCTCCCTGGTTTTCTCCTCCGGCCCCCACGCCCGTCCCGCCCGTCTCGCCCGTCCCGAGGCTGGGGCTGGTCCCTCGGCCTCGCCGGATCCTCCCACTCCTCTCAGCTCGCGGAGCATGGGCTCCAACTTCCCCCCACCCGGAGCCCTCTCGCCACAGCCCGGCCCGGCCCCGCCTGGCTTGGCCCAATACTAGGCCCAGAGGCCCCCTCGCCTCCTCGCCCCCTCGCCCACTCCACCTGCAGCTTAGGCTCCGGAGGCCAAGGCTCCGCTCCAGGCGCGACCCCCACTTGCCTCCATCCCCCGCCCTGATTGGCCGCTGCTTGACAACCGACCCTCACAACAAAACCTCCGGATCAGAGCTCCATCCTCCTCATCTACCGCACCAATCAACCGCCGCGAGCGCTCCACCTCCCGCCAGGTTTGACCAATCGAAGCAGGCGCTTCTGCCGCTCTTCCTAAGTACCCGCCCCCTTTTCCTGAATAGGACTAATCACGAGGAAAGAGAATTCCAGAGCCTCCCCTTAGCTTTTAATGAACCAATAAGGGCTGCCATTTCCTTGGTCCCGCCTCCGCCTCAAGCTTTCCCTTTACTCTCCTTTTCCTTCCTCTCCCTCTTAGTTCGCCAGACGACCCTCCAATGCCGTCTGCGCCAATCGCTTTAGCAACGGTCCCAATTTAACCAATAAGCGCTAGTCTTATTGGAAAACCAATTCCCAGATAACCAATGGGAAGGGAGGGTCAGGAGGCGCGTGAAGCCGCGGACCTTCCATCTTGGAGAGGGGCAAGGGGGGGCGCGGTGTTTCCCTTCTGCCACAGTTCTTACTTCTTCCCTTTAGCCGGGAGCGGTTCTTCAGTGGTCTCAGGACTTTGCCCCTCTTCTTTGGCTCGGATCGGAGACCTACAGGGAGACGGAGCCTGATCCCGGATCCGAGCCGAGAGCGGATCTCCGGAGGCTGCCCCACGGCTGCGGCGTCCGTGACTGGATGAGTGGGCGGCTGCCTTAAAGGGACCACCAACTAGAAATCTGAGAAAGTCCTTCTTTATTGGGCTCGCGGGTAGGGTGGACTTAGGGTAGGGCCATAACCGGCCCGGAGCCTAGGCCCCACGCATGGCCGGGCCGCCCTGGAGCCGCTTGGGAGGGACTGAACCCCACAGGAGGTGCCCAGGGCCTAGTGCCTAAAGACCCCCTAAACTCCCCGTTGTCCGCCAGCCGCTCACTGCAGCTCCGACAGAGGCCTCCGACATACCTAAGACATAGGAATTCCGGTTCCTATTTACGGATAAGGAAACTGAGACCTAGATTAAGGCGTTGGAAATGAGCCACACAACCAAAAAGAATGGTGTCCGACTTGAACCCTTGTTATTAAAGCAAGTCTGTGGGTTTCTCCACGGAATGGCACCCACTACCAGACAGAGGCAGGGGGGGTCCACCTCTCACGATGTACTTTTGGGGAGTGGGTCAAGAGACGAATGTGGGCACTATCAGCAGAGGGCTAGATTAGCAGACTAAAATCCGATCAAAACTGTCCACTCTCTATTTCCCCCAACTTTTTATTCTGAAAAGCTCCATAGAGAAAACTTGAAAGAATTCTACGATGATGTATAATAGTTTAATAGTGGAATCGACCTGATCGATAATCCAACACTTGCTAAGGTTTTCCATATTTGCTTTGAACATGTAGGTGTTTTCTCTGAGCGATTTAAAAAGTTGTCAGCCTCAAGACATTTTACCCCTGAATGACATGAAATACTGAGCATATACCTCTTAAAAATAAGGCCCTTATCCTACCTAACCATTGTATCAGCACACTGAAGAAAACAGAATCCTCTAATATGCAGTCCAGTTTTCCCCAATCAGACCCAAAAGCTATATAAAGCTTTTTTTTTTCCTAACTAGGAAACAAACAAGATTCACCACACGTGGTTCTTTTAAACTCATTCTGTTTCAGTCCCCCAATTTTTTTTTTTTTTTAATGACATTGATCTTTTGAAGAGATTGATTGGGCCTTTTTCCCTTGCACACTGCCCTATATTATGCTTTTTGTCTCACTGTTTCCTGCTAGGGTCGCTTACCCTGTTTCTCTCTCTCTGAATGTTTTGCTAAAGGGAAGTTAAAGCTTAATTGGGTTCACGATCAGCATTTGAAAACCTCTCATACTGAAGTGTAATACACCTACCCCCAAGGGCATGTACTTTGTAAAAGCGAGTTTTCACAAAATGAACATACTCGGGTCCGGAAGAACATTCCTAGCATCCCAGAAGCCTCCGCGGTGCTCCCTTACACCCTAAGAGCCACAACTATTCTGATGCCAACGACTAATTTATTAATTTGCCTGGGTATTTTTCTATACAAATGGAATCATGCAGCATATTCTTTTTGGTATCTGGATTCTTTTGATACTGCGTATGAGGAATCCAATGTGTTATTCCGTGTGGCTATAGTTCACATTTCGTACCTACTACTGGTATTTTAGGCTAGGTCGTTACTTCAGGGAGCTTTCCTGTGCACTGTAGACATCTGTAGGGTGTTAAGCAGCTTTCCTGGCCTCGCTACACGCTAGATGCCAGGGCCGCTCTCAGACCAGTTGTGACGACCGAAAATGTCTCGAGACCACATTTATGTCTCCAGTCTACTCTTAATGGGCATCTGGGGCGTTTCCAGCTTGGTACTAATACTACCGCTGCCATGAACATTCTAGTACTTAACTCTTAGAGGATGTATATGAGCATCTTGGTTGAGTTCTTTTTTCTTGTTCATTGGGTGGGGGGGTTGAGTAGATGGATGGGGGAGAGTGGAGGGAGGGGTGGATGGGGCAGAACCTAGGAGCAGAACTACTGAGCCAAAGGTTAGTGTTAACTAGATACAGCCAGTTTTCCAAAGCGGTTAGACAGGTTGACCCGCGGGGAAAACTGCTTGAGAGTTCCAATTGCTTCTCATCCTTCCAAGTCTTACTCGTTTTATACATACTGGTGGGTGTGTGGCGGCATTTCATATCCCTGATGACTAATGAATCTGACACTGTCATGTGTTTATTGGCCATTTTTTAAGCTAACATTGGGTGCTTTCTACGTGCCACTTCTACTCCTCTCTGCTTTACAAGTCTTCTTTGAGACAACAATAGTGTCATCCCATTTTACAGATGGCTAAATAGTGGCTGGTAAGAACCGGAGCTGGGATGCTGTTCTTTGCAGTCTGGTGCGGAGCCCCCGCGTTCTGGGGTGGAGCCCCTTGGCCTTGCCACTTGCACTGTGTCAGCTGGGCCAACGCAGCTGCAAACAACTAACCGGCTGTTTGCAGGTGGCTGTGGGACCATCTGCAGAGGCGCCGCAAAGACTCAATGTTCCAATGGAGAGAAGGAGAGGGAGCAATTGAGGAAGGGGCCAAGGTGGGTGGGAGCGGGGAGTCTCAGAGGCTATAGACAGAGAAGGAAAGCAGAGGAAGCCTCCTCCGGAACTTGTGGAACATGAGGTACAAGCGGCCCATGAAAAGCGTGTTTATACGCAACAAATGAATCATTGAACGCTCCATCAAAAACTAATGATGTACTATATGCTGGCTAACTGAACATAGTAAAAAAAGAAAGAAAGAATAGTGTGTTTATTTATAGGAACGTCATGAGAAGCAGGAGCAGACAGGGCAGCTGGGAGGTGGTGTGGCAGTGAGGTCTGGTGCCTGAGGCGACGGCCACTGGCTGGCTGTAGGGAGCTCAGGTCAGGCTCTGGGGGCGGTTTCAGCCAAGGTCCCATGAGGGCCTCAGACGAAGACTTTCAGGAAGTCCACCAGGCGTGGGTCCTTGTGGAGCTTTTCCTCTAGGGCCAGGTATTTGAGTGGGGCCAGCTCCTTGTGACTGAGATCAGAGAGAGGAACAGGAGGTGGCCAGGGCTCATGAAGCCCCACCCCAGCCTCCCGGGGGTCCTCTCCAGGCTCCCCATGCCCGCTCACCGGTTGAGCCGCTGCTCCAGGATGCGGATGCGGAACATGGCCTGAGAGCAGTAACTCAGGTACCAGTCCTCGTCCTCGGGCGTCAGGGTCACCTGGTTCTCCTGGTACCACTGCTGTTTCTTCTGCAGCTCCTGGGTCTCCTGCAGGCATGGGGAGGAGAGAGCAGGGGTGGGATGAAGGGGGCTGGACCTCACCCAGACTGCCGCTGAAATCCCCACTGGTCCCTGGACAGCCTCACCAGGGCCGGCCCTGCCGCCACCACCCACAGAGGCCAGAGCAGCAGAGGGGGGGGGGCACAAAATGCCTCGTGTGGGAGCCAGTGGGGACATGTTTAGAGGGATATCGTGTCCAGGAGGAGCAAGGCTCAAGGCAGAGACAGGCTTGTGAACAAGTGTCCAAGGTTTTCCGAGCTTGTCTGCAAATGAAGGGCATTGTCCGCCCCCGGCGCCTGGCATAGAGCATGTCGCCAAAACTCAGTGGGATAATGCATGCCAACCACATGGTATGTGGCAGAGAGAGATGGGACAAGGGCTAGGAGTCGTTGCACGCCCCGCTTCCATCCACCCATCCACTCCATCCACCACCCACCCCTCCCAGCCACCCTTCCATCCAACAAGCAAGAACCAGGAAGGACAACTCCATGTTTTAGAAACTCCAAGCACTGATAACACTCATCCCCTCATGGGTCCCTCCCAAGTGCTGGAGATGGTGAGCAGACAGCCCTGGGTCCATGTTCTGGAGGTGGACCCCGAGGTGCCCTCCCCTGCCCTGGGGGAGGGGTGGGGGTGGGGGAGGGACTGGCCACACCTTCTCGAACCGGGCCTGGATGAGGTTGGCCTTGTCGATGAGCCGCTGCTTGAAGTCACTGAGGCACTCGTCCTTGACCCGCGCGGCCTGCCAGCGCGTCAGCTTCTCTCCCGGCGGGAGCTGGGCCAGGAACGGGGCCAGGTAGTCCAGCTGGGCCTCCACCTGCCGCAGGTGCTCCTCGTGCATCACGCGCTCCTGCGGCCAAGGTGGGTGGGAGTGAGCTGGGGAGTGACCTCCCCAGCGGCTCCACAGCAACATGGGACCACCCAAAACGAGGCCTTAAATCCAGATCCTGGTGCCCGGTGCCTCTGGGACTGAGGCATCAGGCTGTCCCCCAGAGCCAACTCTGTCTTACGCAGATTCGCATCTCAGCCTGAGCCTGGTGCATCACTCACGCTCAGCTTGTGCAATAAATGGTGGTTATAGCAATGTTAAATCGAAAGCTGCTAGGAACTCCCTCCCTCTTCCACCCAGGGCCTTCTGGCCTGTGTCGGGGGATGGGGCCAGTGAGGCTGGAGATGTGGGGGCAGCACCCATCCCCGGAGTCTAAGAGCCAGTTATCGAATGCCCTGTCCTGCCTCACCAACCCCAAGCTATTTTTAGAACTCTCCACTTGGTTGCTGTAGGGGATTTAGAAGCTGGCCTTGAAAACCCCAAATGGGCCTTCAGCCTGAGGGTGTGACCCGGATGTCCTGAGCTGCAGCTGCCCGAGAACTCAGGCTGCGGCCAGAGTCCTGACCTTGAGGGGAGCCCCAAGTGGAGGTGGGTGCCGGATTTTCCTTCTATCGCCATGCAGTAGAGGCCTCGACTTGGCCCTAGCCCCTGGAGCTGGTGGGGAGACCTGGTCTGGACCCTGCATACTCTTCAGTTCATTGTAGAAATGTTTGCCCAGCAAGGATGACCACAAGGATGGCCTTGTGGATGGATGGCCACAATGACGTCAGTAATGTCATCCCCTATAAAGGGCTTCCTGGCAGAGTTCCTAATCATCCTTACCACCCTGGAGGCCTGTGGGGGAGGGGTCCGGGAAAAGCCAGGGCCCAGGCAGGGGAGAAACGCTCACCATGGCCTCCCGGTACTCTTTGCTCTTCTCGTTGCGCTTGGTGTCGTAGATGGAGATGGTCAGGGCGTGCGCCTCCTCCTCCTCCTCTCGAAGCTTCAGGATCTCCAGCACCTGAATCAGGAAGTAGGGGAGGGCACAGTTAAGACACTCTCCACCCATGCTCCCTCCTACCTGTCCACGCTCCCGTGGGTCCACCTCCAGCTCCGACTCCCAGGCCTGATGCTTGGACAACTTCTCCTCATTCTTCAGCTTCATCATGGCCTCGTACTGGTAGAGAAGCTTCTTGGTGTGCTCCATGGGCTCCACCTGGGACGACAAGCACAGGGACACGGTGACAAGGACAGGCAGCAATGGCTAAGGCAGTGAGCAGACTCTGGAGCTAGACTGCTTGGGTTCAAATCTTCCTCTGCCATTTTCTAGCTGTGTGACCACAAGCAGCTAGCTTAACCTCTCTGGGCCTCATTTCTTCATCTATAAAAATACAGATAATAAAAGAAGATGAACTGGGGGCTCAGAGGGACTAAGGAATGTGGCAGGAGAGAGAGGGTTTAAACGAGGAAAGTCAGTCCTGCAGAGGTGGTAGGACTCTCTCCTACTCCAGTGTTGGTCCCGGGATCTGGCTCTGTCCAGGACTGGGGGGAAGGGACAAAGGAAAAGTCTTGGCTTGCTGGGTGGTCTTTCTTGGTGGGAAAGGGGAAGATTTTCGGAGGAGCAGCAAAGACGAGGGTCCCTAGATGGGAGCTCTTGATTTTCCCAAGGGGCGGAGATGAACTTCTGGGCTAGGAACCATGAGTCTCCATCCCAGTGTTCCCAAGTCATGGGGCTGGCACTGGGGGCCCCCAGACCTTCTCCCTGCCCTCCCTGCCCAGCCCTGCCAGCCATGGGCACCCCCAGACCCACCTCAAAGCTGATGCACATGTCGGGCGTCATGATGATCTTGTTGCCCTTGCTGTCCACCTCCGTGCGCCGCAGAAACTCGCGCTTGGAGGCCGTGATGTGGTCGTCTCGGCAGTGGTAACGCAGCTGGATACGCTCCTCTGGGATCAGAAACACGCGCTCCACCACGTCCTCGTCCGCGGGCTTCGCAGGGTTGCGGGAGAACCGCTCTGTGATTTTCTGGGAGGCCAGAACATCACAGGATGGGAGGTGGGAATGCCCTTGAGGGCAGAAGTAAAGGACACTCAGGGACGCTGGAGTCTAGGGTCTTTGGGGGAGTTTGTGTGGAGCAGCCCTTCCTAGCCAGACAACGGCTCCCGTGGCCCTGTGGGTTCTCAGCACCAGGCCACCTCAGCCCTGTGTAGTGCTGCATTTCTTCTCTAGCTCTCTTTGCAAGAGTCTACTTGTTCACCTCCAGAGATGGGAAGCTCACCACCTCTCCAGGCACCCTGCTTTATCATTAAACAGCCCTTACTGCTAGGAAGAGCTCCTCTGGTACACAGCCATTAAACATAGTTGCCAAACCATTTGTAATGATGTGGAGAAAAAAGTGCACAATTCAAGGTTAAGTGAGTGCTACAGGGATCTACCCAAACCAAACCTATTAACACATGTTAATATCAGAGAGACACCCTTCTGAGGGTGCACTTATTATAACAGTAAGGAAAAAATACTTTCTTCGCCCAGTGGTGGAGGGCACAGTCTGACATCAGGCAGCACTGGGATTGTAAAACAGGACAGGGCCCTTGGGAATGGTGCTGTTTTCCCCCATCCCAGGGTGACCTTAGCCTGCTGGACAGAGTGGGCACCCTGTCCCCAGGCCCAGCGAGAGCTCACCACCATTGGCCGGGGGTTTGACTCCGCGCTGTTCAGAGCCAACTTCTTGACCCTGTCCCCGAAATCCACGTGGCGGTAGGAGAGGAAGTCGGACCGTCCCTGGTAGTACTCCGTCATTGTCTTGGGCGTCTCCTCCCGCTTTATCAGGCCGTCCACGCGGGCCGTTTCATAGAACTCCATGACGCGGTCCATCTCAGGCTGCATGGACTTGTACGAGTGCACTGTGGTGGGAGGTGGGGGTCCTGGAAGTCCACGGGCTGAGACCAGGTGTGCTGGCCCCTGACTGGAGAACACGACCCTGGGCCCCAGGGAGTCCCTGAGTGCTCATGGGTGAGCATGAGTTATTAGCCAATGCCCCACTGCTGGGTTCAGGTTGTTTCTAAACTTGTTATTATAAACAACACCGAGGTGAACATCTGCAGTGTGCATTCTGTAATTCTTGCCTATTATTTGCTCAGGGCAAATTCTCGGCAGTAGCACTGTCAAATATTTTTAAATATTTAAATATTTTTATATTTAAATATATTAAATATAAAAATATTTAAATATAAATATAAATATAATATGTATAAATATAAGTATAAATATATATTTAAATATTTTTTTAAAAATATTTTATTTATTTATTTATTTATTTATTTATTTGAGAGAGGGAGACTATGGGCAGGATGAGAGGCAGAGGGAGAAGCAGACTCTCTGCTGAGCAGGGAGCCCGATGTGGGGCTCGATCCTGGGACTCTGGGATCATGACCTGAACCACCCAGGTGCCCCAAACATACATATTTTAAAGCTACTATTATGTTGCCCAACTGCTTTCCCAGAAAGTTGCACCAGTTTGCTGTTTTACCAGTAGTGACAGGGAGCAACTCTCTGCTGCTTGGCTCATGCCTCACGGGGCCACTTTTGTCTTCTTTGCAACACGAGGCTTGTGAGACGGTTCCTTATTTCCTTCGTTCATTTATTCATGCCTTTCTTCCTTTTATTGCAACCACCAAGTGAGACTGATCGCTTTTTCAGATCAATATCCACACTATGTTTTTCTTTTGTGCGTCCTTGGTTAAGCTATTGATTCTCTCTCAAGACGTGTCCTTCCCTCGCTTCCCAGACTCGAGGGCTCATGGCCACACCCCTGCTCTCTGCATCGTCCTTGTGGGCACATGTGTTGGCTTTGCTGCTCAGCATTCTGACCCCTTGGAAATGTGCCCCACTCCATGGGCCCAGCCTTAACCACAGAATGGTCATGTGGCCCCGGTTTTTGACTTTTCTGGAGGGACATTTGTCACATTTCCCTGGATTTTCTGCCCTTCCTCTGACCTCCCACACATCTGATTTGCTCAGGGAAGCAGGGGTGGTGTCTGTTGCCTGCCTTCCCCCCACCACCCTCCGGACTCCTGCTGGGCTGGCAGTGGGGTCCACTCACCACGCAGAGCCTGGGGATGGCCTGGCTTGAAGTAGTCGATATTCAGGCCTGTGTTCTTGTTGATGTGTTTCAGCTCTAGCATGTCCTCCCGGTGCTGGTACCACTCCTTTATCTCCAAAGTCTCTGTACCTGTGGGGCCCGATCGGTGCCTGCTGCAGAAGGCCAGCTCCCCGCAGCCTCCATCCCCCCAACCCTCTTCCCAGCACACAGAGGCCAGCGGGGCCCACACTCACACCAAGAGACTGGCAGTGACGTGCCCAAGGTCACACAGCCTGCTGGGGAACCTGGCTCTCCTGCCCCAGCAGCCGGGGCTGCCTGCCTTACACTCCAAGTCCTTGTAGGTGGTGAGGCGGCACACGAGGCCATCACTGTTGAGATACGGGGCCCACTTCTCCAGCTTCGCCCTCTTGTACTGGATCACCTTCTTCCCATTTGGGCAGCGGGTCTCGAACGCTGTGGATGCAGAGTGGGCTGGGGTCCCTCCTCCCCAGATTGGGGGACAGGAGGGCCGATCCCACCCAGCCACTCATTGGGTCACGGCACTAAACTCCTCCAGGCCCCAGGCCCGGTCTGGGGAGGCAGAGGGAAGTAGGCAGAGGGATCTGCCCCGGAACAGTTCTCAGGTTCGAGCCTGGCCAGGGGAGCCAGCCAGACCATGCCGCTCGCTCACTGCCAGGCCTCTGCCCGCATGGCTCACTCTCTGCTGGAGCCACCATCCCTTCCTGCCCTTACTGGGCTGACTTCCAACCCCTCAAAACTTAGCTCGGACTCCTTCTCCTCCTGGAGGCCCTTCCTGCCCACCTATTCCCAGCATCCCAAACCAGAGGCCTGAGCTGGGTGTTCCTCCGCTCGTTCCCGTGGTGCCCTCTCCAGCCCTTCCCACTCTGTTGGAAGAGCCTATGCCCTCGCCGTGGGCCTCATCACTCCTAGACAGGAACCTCAACAGCCACTAGATGCTGGGATAGAACTCCAGTGTCCATGCCCAGCTGCATTCTCGGGCCACTCCTCCCTGGTCCGGACACCTCCACTCCCCTATGTCGTCTGGGTGCTATCCTGCTTGGCCTTCTCCCGGCCAGGGACCAGGGGGCGGGTGAGGGAGAGGAATGACTGGGCCCTGGTCCTCCGTCGTTTATTACCCACACTCCATCAGCCAGGACGGGTCAACCGAGCCCCCTCGTGCATACCAGAGCAGTGCCAGGCCCTTGTTCACAGCGCTGAGTGCATGAGGCAGGAAGGAGGTGGCCCAGAGTCCCTGCTCAGACCAGGGTACAACAGAAGGCAGGAGGGGTGGAAATGAGGGGCCCAGGCAGCTTCTGCGGACTCCCCTAAGCCAGTCCTGGGGAGGCCAGGGAACAGAGATCCACGTAGGCTACCTTCAGGGGAGATCTCAATCTGTTCCACCCAGGAAGGCGGCATGTCGAAACTCTTGTCCTCATCCTCCTTGCCCTGTGGGGAGAGGCGGGGAGAGGCGGGGAGAGGGCAGGCTCTGTCAGGCCTGGTCCTGGGAGCGGAAGCTAGCCTCCATCTTGCCCCCCAGGGCCCAGCCACAGGGGCTGTCAGCTCCCCCAGGGGAGCCAGAGGTCACGGGCATCTCTGACATGGTAGAGAGGAAGAGGCGGCAGCGCAGGAACCCTCCCTTGACCCACCTGACTCGTACTGTGATCCCACCCGCTGTGTGCCCAACCTTCAGTCAGTCAGCATGGGCACCATGTGCAGCCACTGGTCCTTCCTTGAGAGAGAGCCTTCTGGAGTCAGGTGGACCCAAGCCCCACCTGCAGGACGCAGCCCACACACCTGGGCAGGTAAGTCCCTTCACTGCTCTGAGCCTGTTTCCTATTAACAGGACCACGAGGGAGGATTAACAGATAGAATGTATATAAATCACTTGAGACACCGCCTCCCTCCTGTTTTTGTTTTCCTTTCCGAGCCTTAGTTTCCCCATCTGTAAAATAAGGCCTGCTTTACACAAATGGTCCTCAGGCGAGGTAACTGAAAACCTCGAAAAGAGTTTTTCTCAATTTCAAACTGTTCCACAAACGTTGCTTACATCTAGGGCCACCAGGGGGCGGCAGTGCCCCGAGATTTACTGCCAGGGAGGCTCTCTGGTCTCCAGAGGTGAAGATGCTGTACCAAGCTCCTCGTGGCCACGGTCTCATTTTATCCCCGAGCTGTCCGGAGGTTATAGAACAGAGTCCCTGTTCAGGACACAGACTTGGGAGCCAGACTGTCAGATCCCAGGTTCAAGCCCAAGCTCTACCACTCGCTGGCCATTGACCTTTGGGTATATTACTTCCCCCCTTCTGTGTGTAAGTCTTCCCATCTGTAAAACAGGATGACAATAATCATAAACGATAATACGAACGCCCACCTCACCAGGTGGCTGTAAAGATTTGGACAAGTTAATTCAGGTTAAGCACCTGCTAATTCAGGTTAAGTGCCTCCTGGCCCTGGGGGCCATGGGAGTGTTCCGGACTGTGATGGGCTTAATTGTGTCCCCCTAATCAGGTCCTGACCCCCAGGACCTCAGAAGGTGACTATATTTGGAGATAGGCTCTTTCAAGAGGTAGTTAAGGTAAAATGAGGTCATTGGGGTGGGCCATAATCCCATGTGACTGGTGTCCTTGCTTGAAGAGGAGATTAAGACATGCGTACAGAACGACCACGTGAAGACACAGAAGACAGCCATCTACAGGCCAAGGAGAGGGGCTCAGAAGAAGACAAAATGCTGACACGTTGGTCTTGGACCTCCAGAACTAGGAGAGAATTAATTTCTGTTGTTTAAGCCTCTCAGTGTGTGGTACTTTGTTATGGCAGCTCTGGCCCCCTGATATCCCTAGTCCTGTTACTGTGGATATAACTGATCCCAACCCCCCGTCCCTTCCACTTTATATACAGACAATGAAACTGAAGCTCTCCATGATTGGGAAGTTTGCCCAAGGTGTCACAGCCAAGAGCTAAGGCCTCTGGGCCCCGACCCCCAGGCACAGGTCCTCACGGAGAACTGCCTAGAAGGGCTCCCGACTAGGAGATGGGAGAAGGACGCTGACACCATGCGGAAGGCCCCAGGCCAATGAAGGGCTGTGAAGACAGACAAGAAAAGCCTGGAAGCATGTGAGGGGGATCATGGTGGCTATGCAGGAAGGCCTGGAAGTGAGCCCAGGGCTGCGGTCAAGGTCTTATCACGCCTATTGCTGGGACATGCTCTTTACAGAAACAGGGCAACCATCGACCAGGGTGGGCTGCATGGGAGCCAGAAGACCTGGATGCAAGTCCCAGCCCTTCCCTACCCACCCCCACCCCCAGGAGTTCCTGGGCAGGTCCATGAACTTGTCTAGGTCTCAGTTTGCCCGTCTATAAATTGAGAGCATGGTCCAGGCCCCTCTGCTTTGGGGAGTATACAATCGGTTCCTCTGGCCCATTCCCCTCCAATACACACACACGTGATAGAGACGTTGGTCGGGTTGGCCTGACAGGGCACGAAGCTCCATCCCACCGCCAGCCCCCACGCCGCGAAGACCCACCAGGTTCTCCATATCTTCATCATCATTCATTCCGTCGTCCTCTTCCTCAGCCACAGCCAGTTGAGGCTTGTCAGTCCCCAAGAGCAGGTACTCCCACCTCACAGGGTCTCCCAGGTCAAAGACCAAGTCCTGATGGGGGAAGGATCAGCTGAGCACACCGCAGGGCCAGCACGCCCCCTCCTGTTCATGGGGCGGGGGTGGGGGGGCGGGCAGCTGCACCCAGAGTAGAAGAGGGACCCGGGCCTGGGTCTCAGAGGGGCAGAATGTCGGCTCCCGGCAGCCTCTTTGAGTCCACGCCCATCCTCCTCATTTCAACAGGGAAACTGAGGCCCGCCCCCTCCGCCAGACTCCCATGAAGAAATCCTGCTGTTGGTCTCCATGAGACTTGGCAGCTCTCTGGCCTGGGACGGGCCCGGAGGTGGAGGTTATCCCGCACTGTCAGGGGAGCGTCCCAAGCAGAGTTTAGAGCAGACGCAAGCCAGCAGTATTTTATGGGACAGGGAAATGGTAGGTTTGAAAAAGGGACGCCTCACGGTTTTTCCCTATGCCGGGGAGAGGGGGACTAGGCAGGCACACAAGGAATTGCACAGAGGAGACAGGTGGGAATTTCTCTTCCGTGGGGTGGGGCCCCCACCTGCTTTTCATCCAGCCTATCTGAACTCAGGTGTGCGGCTCAATGAATTTCCATAAATTGGACACACCTGGTTTCCTGCACCCAGATCAAGAAATAACATATTGCCCACACTCCAGAAAGCCCTCCTGTGTCCAGTTAGGACCCTTCCCCAAACGTGTGCGTGTATTTCTAAATTATGTTATGTGGCACTGGGTTTTATTTACGTGTATACACAAAGACACACACAGACACCTCTGTGTATATGCACATAGAAATATGGGAATTCACTGTACACTTAGGATAAGCATACTGTTCTGCATGTATGTTGCACTTCAATACATCATTTAAAAAAAAAAATCATTCAGGGGCGCCTGGGTGGCTCAGTGGTTTAAAGCCTCTGCCTTCAGCTCAGGTCATGATCCCAGGGTCCTGGGGTCGAGCCCCGCATCGGACTCTCTACTTAGCAGGGAGCCTGCTTCCTCCTCTCTCTCTCTGCCTACTTGTGATCTCTGTCTGTCAAATAAATAAATAAAATCTTTTAAAAAATCATTCATACAAAAACAATCCACATTAAGTAAGGATACACATTCCAAAGAGATATTAATCATATTAGATATTAGATTCTAGATAATAATATTAGAATAGTTATGTCTGGACAGAGGAGTGGGCTATGGGGACTCAGCCCTGGGGAAAGTCTGGAGCTCTGTGGCAGCAAGCTTGCCCCACAGGGAACCCCCACCCCCACCCCGGGACTGCCTGTCACACTGGCCCCGCACTGGGCCCAGTACCTTGCAGCCGTTCCAACAGTCCTGCATGTTGACCCAGTAGTTCTTATGGTTCCAGAGGCTCTCGATGCCCAGGAAGTGGTCGTCCTGGGTGCTGTAGCTGCGTGCCGTGAGTGGGTCAATGAAAAAGCTCTCAGGCACCTCGCGCTTCCCTGACAGCACCAGGACCCAAGCGTGCACCCGGAGGCCATGCAGGGGGTCGATCTTTGCTTTCTCCAGCTCCTGCACAGGAAAGGTGGGTAAGTAGGTAAGCATGGACCGATGGGTGGGAAGGGGGGTGTCGGGGCCCCAAACATCTCCCCAGGGCTGGACAACCAGCAGGAGAGCTGAGTTCCAGTCCAGAGTGCATTTTGCCTCACTGCATGACCTTGAGGACATCACCTCACTTCTGAGCCTGTTTTCTTATCAATACAGTGGGAGAGTCTGAGTTTATCTGTAGTTTACAAACTGGGTCCTTTGGCACCCTAGAGCATCTGGGATTTACTGGCTTTCTGCATTGCCATTCTGGGTGGGATTTTATCCAAAGGAGGGTAGGGGGCACTGTGGGGCTTCCTCCTCTGCTTCCCTCTGGAAGGAGGGGGACCGTCATGTTCATTATTGCATCCACAGAGCCTGGACGAGAGGAGATGCTCAGCAAATACTACATGGAAGGAAAGGAAAGGGAGGAAGGAAGGAAAAGAGGGAGCAGGGGGAGAGACGAGGGTATGGGTGGATGAAAGGAGAGCTAGAGGGTGGATGGGACGATGGAGACCTGGGAGGACAGAGAGCAGGGAGGACAGATGGGGAGTGTATGCAGGCAGGTCTTTAGGGAAAGAGTCTGGAACCAGGAGAACATCACAGCCCAGCATGGAATGAATGCGTGGCCTCAGGCAGTAGAGCTCTCTGATATGAGGAATCTCTTGCAGAAGCTGGCTGACCACCAGGGAAAGATTCCCACATTGCTGGGCAGAGGTGCGGGATGGCGGGGCACGGAGGGGGGGGATGTGGATCTGGGGTCCACGGACACATCCCCTCCCTGCCCTGTGTCAGTTCTCAGCTGCTAGTGGCCCCTCCTGGAGAGCTGAGCACAGGGACCGGAGGAAGGGACCCACCAGGAGGCGCTGTTCCTCCTCCTTCCACCGCTTTTCCTTCTCCCCTTTGATCTCCTGCTGCTTCTTCATCTTTTGCTCCTGCTCGAACCTGCTGCTCAGGTCTCTGGGTGGTTTAATGGCATACTTCTTAGGTGGTACCTTCTCTTCTTCCTGCACCTCCTGTCACCCAACGAGAGAAGAAGGATCAGCCGCCCTGCATCGCCCAGCCCTCGGACCAGGAGGTCACAGCTGCTCCAGAACCCTCAGCCCCCAGGCTTTTTGGTGCTAAATGCCTCAGCTCCCACTTCCCTGACTTCAGGCCCTTCTGGATATGGGAAGGAAACAGTAAGAACCTTCTCCCCAGGCTTGTTCTGAGAAGCAAAGACAAGGAAATGCCCACGTGAGGTGCCAGGCACCACAGGGATCGGGGGATGTGATTTTCTCCCCTTCGTTGCCCACGGCCCTTTCTGCCTACGATCCAGATCTGACCTAGAAAGTGGGCGAATTGTGGGGAGTTGGAGTTCCCAGATTCTGTCCTTGGAGGGTTTCAGGCGCTGACTTAGAGTTTGCTGGGTTAGGAAGGAGACGAAAGCCTGTGTGCGTGCGTGTGTGTGTGCATGTATGTGCCTAAGAGTGTGTGCTAGCTGGCAAGAAAAGTGTCCTGGGCACAACACCACAGAGGCTGCAGATGTCCCCGGGGCCTGGGACAGCGAGGAGGGGAAATGGTGGTCTCCGCAGCCCGGAGTCCGCCAGGTGGGGCCTGGGCCCCCAGGTCTCCTGCCCTGAGATGCAGACACCGCTGGGGCTTGACTCTGATCATGGAGCCTTGCAATCAGTCCAGTCCACAAACAACATTTTCAGTCTGTACTGTGGCTAGTTCTCAAATGCAAAAAGATGCTTTTTGATTCCTAAAATTAAATGCATTTAAGAGTGTTTTTTGGGGCGCCTGGGTGGCTCAGATGGTTAAGTGTTTGCCTTCGGCTCAGGTCATGACCTCCAGGTCCTGGGACTGAACTCCAGCTCAGCGGGGCGTCTGCTTCTCCCTCTCCCTCTCCCTCTGCCTCTCCCCCTCCTTATGCATATTCTCTCTCTCTCTCTCAAATGAATAAATAAAATCTTTTTTTTTTTTTTTAAAGAGTGTTTCTTGTGTCCACAGCAGCCTCTAGCCATGGGGGGCTGTCAGTCAGCAGAGATAAACATGACCACAACCTGCTGGAGGGTTAGCGATAATTTTTTGCTGTTAAAAAATTTTGAGGGGGTTCCTGGGTGGGTTAAGCAACCAACTCTTGTTTTTGGCTCAGGCCATGATCTCAGGGTTGTGAGATCAAGCCCCGAATTGGGCTCCGTGCTCAGTGGGGAAGCTGCTTGGCATTTTCTCTTTCCCTCTGCCTCTCCCCCTGCTTTCTCTCAATAACTAACTAAATAAAATCTTTTTATTTTTAATTTTTATTATTTTTTAAAGATTTTATTTATTTATTTGACAGAGATCACAAGTAGGCAGAGAGGCAGACAGAGAGAGAGGAAGGGAAGCAGGCTCCCTGCTGAGCAGAGAGCCCGATGCAGGGCTGGATCCCAGGACCCTGGGATCATGACCTGAGCCGAAGGCAGAGGCTTTAACCCACTGAGCCACCCAGGCGCCCCTAATAAAATCTTTTTTTAAAAGGGGGAGTCTTGGGGCGCCTGGGTGGCTCAGTGGGTTAAGCCGCTGCCTTCGGCTCGGGTGATGATCTCAGGGTCCTGGGATCGAGCCCCGCATTGGGCTCTCTGCTCAGCAGGGAGCCTGCTTCCTCCTCTCTCTCTGCCTGCCTCTCTGCCTGCTTGTGATCTCTCTCTGT